TCTGGATTTCCTCTTTGATCATTATTTGCAAGAAGAGTTCATGGAATCAGTATTCCCTTAGTTCTTGCATGTTGGCATATATTTTTCTTTTGCCCTTATGTTTGAATTACTATTGGCTTTATATAAAATTCTTGTTTAATACTTTTCCCTTATGGCTTTGTATATAGACCTGACATTGAATATTGCTCTAGGGAAGTCTGAGGGCAGACTAATTTTTAAAAATCTTTCCCCTTAAATGACTTCATTTGGGGCAGAGACCGGGTACTGTCTAAGTGAGCACAAGATGCTTTATCAAGATTCTTGTTGATTGCTTTATATCAGTTTTTTTCTGAATCATAGTATGCCCTTGCCACTTGCAGATTCAAACCTTCTCTTATTTCAGGAAAGTTTTGATTATGTATTTGGCTTTTCTGTTGTTATGTTTCATTTGTTTAGTTCCCTCCTCCTCCCCCATATAGTTTACATTGGTTCCCTTTTGTCTTCTCTATCTGCCATTTTCTCTGTAATTATTTTCAACTTTATTCTTTTTTCTTTCTTTTTTCTTGAATTTTCTCAAGCTTGTCTTCCGTGTCCCATGCTGTATTTTTCATCAAGTATTTATTTAGTACTGTTCTAGGAACTGGCAGTAAAGCACAGAACAAAACAGACAGAAATCCCCAACCATATGGAACTTACTCTGGTGGAGGAATCAGACAACAAAGTAAATATATAGTAAGTGAGGGTGGGACAAGAATTGCATTTTTAAAAGGGTGATCAGAACAGGCCTTACTTAAGTGGTTTTTGAACAAAGACCTGGAGAAAATCATGCACATATTTGGGGGAAAGCCTTCTAGGTAGAGGGAATAATAACGTTTTCAAGGAATTGTAAGGCAACTTGTGTAACATTTTCAAGGAATTATAAGGTGGTCAGTATGGCTGGAGCAGAGTAAACAAATGGGGTAGTAGGAGATGAAATCTGAGAGGTAAGGGGGCACAGGTGTAGGCCTTTATAGGCCATTATAAATAAGGCCTTTGACTTTTATTTTAAGTGGAGGAATGACTTTTTGTAACAAGATCATACTGGCTACTATGTTGAGCGTAGACTGTAGAGAGAGTTGGGATCAAGCGCAGAAGCCAGTAGGAAGGAGGCTGTTGCTGTAATAATCCAGTCAAGAGAGAATATTGGTTTGGACCAAAATGGTAGCAGGGGAAGAAGTGAGAATAGATTAGATTCTGGGTTTATTGGAAGGTACAGCTGACAAAATTCACTGATGGAAGGAGGAAATAAGAAAGTAAGCATTTTAGTCTGAACAACTGGAAGATGAATTGGTACTTACTGATATGGGGAAAACTGCATGGGGAAAACTGCAAGGTTGTAAAATCGAGACTTTGGATTTGGTCAGGTTAGGGTAGAGAAGGCTGTTAGACAGAAGGCAGTTACATGTAAGTGGAGTTCAAGAGAAAGAACCATATATCTAGGGATTGTCAGTATATAGATATTATTAAAAGTCCTGAGACTGGGTGAGGTCACTAGAGGAGTGAGTATGGATAGAAGAGAATTTCAAAAACAGAACCCTAATGCACTCAAACATATAGAGGTTGGGGAGATAAAGAATTAGCAGAGGAGATTGAGGATGGCTAATTAGGTGGGTGGAAGTCAGGATGGTCTGGCATGTAGGGTGTCAAGTAAAAAACATATAGAGGTTGGGGAGATAAAGAATTAGCAGAGGAGACTGAGGATGGCTAATTAGGTGGGCGGAAATCAGGATGGTCTGGCATGTAGGGTGTCAAGTAAAAAACATATACAGGTTGGGGAGATAAAGAATTAGCAGAGGAGACTGAGGATGGCTAATTAGGTGGGCGGAAATCAGGATGGTCTGGCATGTAGGGTGTCAAGTAAGAAAGACAGTGTGTGGAGGAGGAGGCAGTGATACATTGTATCAAAGGCTAATAGGTTAAAGGAAGGTAAGGCCTGAAAATTGTCATTACGTTAGGAATATGAGGTCATTGGTGCCCTTGACAAACTTTTTCTGGAGTGGGTAGGATAAGCTTAATTGCAGAGAGTTCAAGGGAAAAGGGGAAGAGAGGAATTCTAGCAGCAAGAGTAGCCAGTTCTAGGAATTTTATTTTGAAGGGGAAAACAAAATAGTAACTGGAGGGAAAACTAGGGTTAAGTGGGGGGTTATTTTCTAAGATGGGAGGAAGTAGTGTATGGCATATTTGTGTGCTGTTTGGAATAATCCAGGACAAAGGGAAAAATTGATATTTTGACAGAATTGCATGGCATGGTCTATTCTTTTTGTCTCCCATTTTTGTTGAGCTCAGGTATTTGGTATGTCATCTCTTTCTGTTATGTTTTTTCATAAGTCCTTTTACCTCTTCTTTGAACTCAAATGCCACTGTCTTAGCTTGGGCTGCCATAACAAAATACCATAGATTGGGTGGCTTAAACAGCACATTTATTTCTCAAAATTCTGGAAGCTGGAAAGTCGAAAATCAATGGTGGATTAACGGATTAATTTCCTGGTGAGGGCCCTCTTCCTGGCTAGTAGATTGCTGCTTTCTTGCTGTCTGCTTGCGACGGAGGATGGGGGAATAAATATCCTTATATTCCTATAAGCTAATGACCTCATCTAAACCAATTACGTCCCAAAGGCTCCAACTCCTAAAACCATCACATTGGGGTTTAGGACTTAAGCATTAGAATTTTGGAAGGATGCAAACATTCAGTCCATAACAGACATATTTGCTTTAATTTCTTAGAGAATTAATTTGTTCATAATTTTCATCCACTTCATCGTGTGTTGCTTATGCTTTTTGGTTATAACATTGCTTTGCTTTGCTTTTTTTTCTTGCAACATCTTTGCATAAGATCTACAATGGTTCCTTTTTGATTATTGTTCATCTTTGAACTGGAGGCATTTTTCTTCTTATTAGCAGTTATTTGTCCAA